GAAGGCACCGTTTGTTAATAATGTTATCCTCCGGGTCGGAAAAATGGCTAAGTCGAGGGTTAAATATTTAACAACTTTCACCCGCAGATTAACTCGGTGTCATACGAAAATAATTGCGACCCGATGGAACCGCATTAATATTCGGCTTTTAGCGTTATAATAAATATCGAGCGAGTTAGCATAACGTTGTTAACATCTCCGTATTTTCAAAAATATAATTTCATTTTATTCACAGGGGCTTGTACCTTGCTACTTTTTTAAACGAAATATGAGAAGAGAAATCTATCAATATTGCGAGACTTAAACATTTACTCATGAGTCATACGTTTAGTGAATTCAAAAGGTAGCTGTCATGAAATTTCGCCGCAAAATGAAAGACTGTACAATAATTTCCCCAAAATTCAATTCCATATTGCATCGCTTTGTAATGAAAACTGTTTATGTGGTTTTAATGTGACACATTCAAACATTCGCGGTTGCGTGAGCTCCGCCGTATATTTTAGTCCCTACTATATTGAAAATATATAATTAATTAAACCACCTGTAATACCATCTACCACAATAGTAGTTTACGTACTTTCCTATTACATGGGGATGAAATACTTGGTTCTTTCTTTAGCTACCTTAACTTCCACTTTCTTGTCTCAATCCTATCAATAAAATTCTTTAAAATGATTCCCGGCTAGCATATAATGAAAGTAAATTAATTATTGCAAGAAACTTAATTGCTTGATAAGCGCGCTTCATTTGATACTAAAACACATGTCAATCAGACGCCGTTCGCTAAAACACATCTGATTAGCTGCCGGTAATTATGTTTATTTGTTACTCAGTTGTAAACGTTGATTAACAAGACAAAACGCAAACGGGTAAACGTCATCTTTAAACGCTACTGACTTGTAAAACTGACAGCAGACTTGTAAAACTGACAGCAGACCTGTAAAAATTTTACAAGTTAGTAATCTAGTAATTTCATTGGCCAGAATTAATGCGAAGTCTCTGTTACATGGATCACATGATATTTTAGACATTTCTTCAAGATTAATTTAAGAACTAATTATTTACGTTTACAAATGAGTAACAAATAAAATATTGTACATTATACGCCAGGTAATAGTTTTTACTGGCTCTAGGAGATGACAGGCTCGCCTGACGGCTCGCCAGTCAACTTCTCCTATCGCCAGTAAAAACTCACTGACCTGGCTAATAATGTAAAATACTATTACTTAATTGGCCGGATTGAAATTACAAAATTCGGTACCTAGTCCAGTTAGTATCTATTGTTGATTGGATCTGTTTATCTATCGTACTCGTTGCTCGTTGAAATCCTGGTTCTAAATTAGCATTGGGAATCTTCTAATATAAACGGAACCGAAATCGCAAAATATTAAGTTTCTCTCGTCTTCCAAATGACGGGAGCTTTTGGAGGTCGCAAGAATAATCAAAATATCTCTACGGGAACAATTAGAAAACTGAATAGTTAATTAGATACGGCATCTTGGTTTCCTTATCGATGATACACATTCGTAGACTATATTGCCACCTTCTGAAGTATAAATAATTATGTCTAGAAATTACGGTTTTTAGTAATGAAGCGCCCTCGATATCATCCTATACTGGGCGTCCAATTGGTAGATTCCATATACGAAAACGGGTTCTTCGTTACCGTAGAATTTTCAGAACGTAACAGGGAACTGGTAGAAAGAAGTTTAATTTCGACAAAGTCTACTCGAGGAAATTAGGGGCTGGTAGATATTAAAAATTTGTTGGGAAAGACCGGATGTTATTTAGGACGCTTGCGGTCATATACCTACCTACCTACAGAATTCAAATTTATCTATCAGTACGAAACAACAAAGTACGGCACTTATTATTAATTTTCATTTAACTTAAGGTATGCATTTTTAGGATTAATTCCGTAAATATTAATTAAGTTTCTAACTAACACATACAATTCACATAACATTTCATATAAGGAAAACATTTTCATATTTCCATTACAGAAACTGAATACACTTTCTATAACATGTTTGTAGTGAAAGGATGAAAAAAGACATGAATTGTCACTGAGTGCTTTTGTGTTTGTTACGTTGATAATTAATAGTTCCGCTAGTTTTACGGAGCAGCATTAATACTTAGCTACCTGTTCATTTTTGTGAACGTTAAACTTGACTCGTATCTGTAACCGTTTCTACATTTATATGCCCTTTATCTCCACTGCTTTAAATATAACATACCGGCAAAAACGTTCTCATGATACATTATTCCAAGTTAGCAACTCAAAATGCTACAAATAAGAAGAATATACAATATTTGTTTACCCTCGGCCAGCCAGACCTTTCTAAAGTGTTCTACAGCCTTCTAGAAGAAGAGTATTTAAAGTTATTCAAGAATCTTCAAAAAATTTAAAGAACTTCCAAGTGTAGCTAAGCGCTTTAAATGTCGATGCCTATTATAAATATGAGCGATCGAAGGGAGCTGGGTTTTAATGGGCAGAGTCCTTTAAACTATAAATCTTCAAGATTTCTTATAACACTGAGCTTATTTTATCCGAATTGTGTTTTATTAGTATGTTATGGTGAGAGAAAAATGTTTCTCAAGGCTGACGTAGGTAGTAACCATGGTAATAGAATCAACTAAATTAGGTACGAAAAATTAAACCGCGTACTTTAAAGGTTTGGGCATACAGAAAGCGGTCTGTCGCGGCGGACAGCGATCCAGATACAAGCTTAGCTTAAGCGTAACTTAAAATCCATTGTTTGAGCCTTTAAAGGTCACAAACAGTGTATAAAAGTATCAAAAGAGCCTCAAAGGATTTCTAAGAGTTAAGAAACTTTTATAGATTCTCTCCCCTCTTTAAAAATCCGAACTATTAAGAGCTTTTGTGAGTCTGGTTCCCAAGGGACTTTTAGAATCTTCAATAAGCACGAAGTATTTAAGAATCTTGAAGGGCTTTTAAGAGTCGCTTGGGTCTCATAAATGAGTCAAAGGTCCTCCAGAATCTCCTAATTGTTTTAGAGTTTTTAATGCTTTTAGTGAATAATAGCTTTTAAGGGATCCTTTAAGAGATTATGGAGATTTGAGGGGTATAAGGATGACATATTACAATCTCAAAAAGTTTCCAGCAACTCCAAGATACTTTTACCTTGTTTTAGAGTGACAGTAAGGGTTTTCTAAAACCTTTCTGAACCTTTAATAGCCTTTAAGACCTTTAGGAGCTTTTAAAGCTAATCGGATCTGTCGGTTCTTTAGCAAAGTTGTTAGTGTTGGGAATGTAAATGCCTACTGTGTAAATAATTTTTTGTTTTTTATCTATAAGTGTCTGGTGTCTTATTGTGAATAGTTTTATCTGTAAGTAGTGTCCTGTCCCAATATAATTTGTGTGTGTTGTTTTCAAGTATGATCTGTGGCGTGTATTTGTAGTATGGTGTCTTATCTGTTATGAGATTGTGTTTAAGAGCTAATTTTTGATGTATGATCGTGTCAATGTTTGTATTCTCTATTGTTATAATATTTGTCATACAAGAGTGTGTTGAATCACAATATTATCAATGGAAAAGAGGCGCTTATGAGTGAGTAAGGACAAAATAAAGTACGTGCCACATTAATACTGAATGTCGAGCCAAGTATCCTCAAGTGTCCAATTTTTTAACCGGGAAATGATATTATTGTAAAAACATTGGTAACAGGATAATGCATAATAGTATAGTGGTCGCGAATTACTGTATTGGATTGCGAAAATTGCTGAAATTAATCATATTGAATTGTTATATATGAAGGAGAAGGAGACATACAATACAATCGGTAGAAACTCTTATCAAACGAGAGACTCAAATCACGACAGCATTTCAAATAATTACATTTAGCGAAACCATTATTTTTGTTGTCTGAATAAAAGGTTTGGATTGTATTGTTTACGTGGGCCATTAACCGTGTTGTAATGCTGCTCATTTATAATTGACAAACCCTTTCTCAATAGAAGCATTCGCAATGATTTTAGGAAGATTCGTAAATAGAAAAGGACGAGTTTATACACATAATTTACGATTGACGAATTTACATTGAACAGAAAATTTCTCAAAGAAATGTAACTGGGAAATGATTGCAACTAAACTTTAGCAATAAATTAATTGGATATTGAATACTCCTGCTGTACCATGTTGTGATGTGGTTGGTGGTAGAAACTAACTACCTACTCCAATAAAGGATTGTGAAAATTTCCCTCAAATTCTTCTCACGTTCCTCTTTTCTTTTTGACTTCTCCTCAGAAACTTGAGATCAGACATACGCTTCCTCATTATTGGGATAATCCAGATTGCTCTTTCTTTTGTAAGAGTGCACGGTTAGTAAGGGACGTATCGCAGTGGAGTAAAAAATGCCCCCCACTTTTTTTTAGGGAAATCCACGTTATGAAGCACCAGTAATCCGAATCAAACAAAATCTAGATGCCATCGATCTGTCGGTTCGTCTGTACCCTCATTTCCGGCTAACCGACTGAGCCACGAAATTTGGTACGCATATTGTTAGACATAAAAGAACGGGCTGAAACGTAGGTATCTATCTGTCGGTGCCTGAATAAGCCTGATCTAAACTAATCTAGTTGAACCTTTTTATATTTCTCACTCAACGAAGTTACGTAGTAACATATCCCTATCGAACTAATTTAAGAAAATATAGAAGGGGAGGAGTAAATCTCTTTAAGTACTATTAATTAGATGATTTTCAGCCTCCCGAAAAGTACTTCCGAGGTACCTACCCAACTTTTTGGTCTAATTTTACTAGGCCAATTTATCATTTAAATGTATGATTTAGGCGAGGATTTAGGTCTTAAATGTTAACTGTGCATAAACAAATCTTACCTATGGCATTGCCCATATTTACGTTGATCGAGAAATGACATTGTTGCAACTTTTTCGGCTCTCCATAAAGTTCAAAATGTTGTCAATAATAAAAATGCAAACCGTACTAGTAGGTAGTAGTTATTTATTTCTTATTTTCAGAGACCTATCGCGTACTGCAATTACATTATTACCAACCGAAGGTCTGCGAGAAATAGACGTCCTAAAAGTACAAGAAACTGAAACTCTGAAAGTATTTCCATCAGTCTTCAACTTCCAAGTAAGTTTCCGACAATTAAGATTACAAAAGAATAAATCTGAACATTAACCGTTTTCATTCCACTAACAATGCAACTTTTTCTTTCAGTTTATAAAGGAAGCCTGGCTGACGTATCCGTACCATTGTTGCGCGTTCAAGTTTCCTCATACTCACAATCCCTCGGAGTTTGAACGTCATCAGATTTTTCGTAAACAAATACAGGAGGCTTGCACGACAAAGAATTTGAGCTTTAATCATATTCATCCGGAAAACGCGTACGCGTCTTTTAAAACGGCGTTTCGATGGTCATCGTTCAACGAAAGCTCCTCTCAGAATCTCATCGAGGAGAACTACTGGAATGAAAACGAGGAAATATTTCATAACGATACGCTTTCAATTAATACCGGAATTCCAGTTACAACGGCAATTTGCGGAGAACTCTATATCAATTATTACGAGGTAAGTTATTTCCAATAGGTGTCTACGTAATTGCGTTATTGAATGTTGTGAATGCCAATATATTTGTGGGATAATTGAAAACTTGTGGACTATACCGATAGGGTTTCTACATAGGAACCATACGAAATGCCGTATTGCAGCTGTTAATTGCTAATGCATATTTACTCGAAATTAGTGCTTACAGGTACAGAATGAATATTTAAGATTTAAATCACTGCGGGTTATTATTTTCTGAAAAACGTGTGGGTATCTTTATTTAAAATAAATACCAAACCACGTGGTCACAGTTGCCTTAAATTAAACGAGCTTAAAGTGAGTGTGTTATTTGGCAAAATTTATGTTAGTAAATCTGCTAGAGTCAAACCAATGAGCTGATAATAAACTCACGTTCGGCTTCCGTCACAATGAAAAACTCTATCCGAATGGCACAATGGATTCGGATAACACAATTAATTGATTGATCAAGGACAAATTCCGAAACACATGAAAGAAATAAAACAAAATCCATGAAAGAAAAAAAGTTTACAAAGCTTGTTTGGACATATTACCCCGTACGCAGGCGGTCGACAATTAAAATAAGAAATCTAAACTTAGTTTTAAATTTTGCTTTCAACAATAGGAGTAAGTAGGTACCTAGTTACTTTTTAGAGCTGCAGCTTTTCATGGCAAAATAGCGAGAATTTCCAGTACAAAAACATGACTAGATTTTCATTTTTAAAAGTAATATGGTCGTAATTTTTGCAAAGCATCGAATAGTGCAAAATAGTGTATTCATATTTCTGCAGATGATCCATATGTGATATGTAATTTCGAAATGCATTCAGCTTTTACTTTAAGCAGCTCTCATAAATACCTCTTGTTTCAGGTCAAGTGCCATCCGCCCCCCGATGCCTTCAATCCATGTGAAGATCTAATGGGAAACTGGATCTTGAGGGTACCAGTATGGTTCATATCATTTTCAGCTGTAATCGGAAACCTATTCGTTATAATCGTGATTTCGTCATCTCACTTTCGGCTTACCGTGTCAAAATTTCTGATGTGTAACTTGGCGGTAGCCGATTTCTGCATAGGATTGCATTTGCTGCTAATTGCAATCGTGGACACGTGCTCCATTGGCGTATACTTCAATTACGCCATTGATTGGCAAGGAGGTATGCTTTTAACAGTGATAGTTCAACCAGATTTATTCTTCAGTTCCAGGAAATGGGTGTAGAGTTGCGGGGTTTTTCACCATATTCGGCAATATACTTTCGGTATACACGCTGGCTATCATTACAACGGAACGTTGGTATACCATAACGTGGGCAATTCATTTAAATAGACGATTAAAACTGAGAACTGCAGTGCGTGTCATGTTCGTGGGGTGGATATTTGCCATTACATTGGCGATCTTACCTCTTGTTGGAATTAGTAGTTATTCCAAAACCAGTATATGCTTGCCTTTGGAGAACAACGGAAAGGCGGATGTAATCTATCTGTCGACGTTATTAGCGTTTAACGCACTTGCCTTCGCACTCATTTGTGTTTGCTACGGCAGCATGTACAAATCTATTCGAAAAGGAGGAAACATGTGTTCAACTACTTCGGTTCGATCAGATCTGACAGTGGCCAAACGCATGGCGTTACTGGTCTTTACAGATTTCGCTTGTTGGGCACCCATCGCGTTTTTTGGTCTGACTGCACTACTAGGGCGACCATTAATTACGGTTACGCAAACCAAAATACTTTTGGTATTTTTCTACCCCTTAAATTCGTGCGCAAATCCGTACCTATACGCGCTACTGACACAACAATACCGTCGAGATTTCTTTATTTTAATGGGTCGTTACGGTTTGTGTAAGGATCGTGCAGAAAGACATAAAGGCGCAATTGGTGGTAAACCTCTACCCTACGGTTCAGCGCCGCAATACAAGAGGCCAATTGGGGAAGGAGTCAAAAGCAACAGCGTTAATAGTAACCGTAATTCTATTTTGACCACGTTTGTGTCTGTTGATGTTCCAACGGCGAGATCAAGTTCAAGGTATGGATCGAGAACACGCCATGGTGTAGATTTGAAGCAGCTAAACCACTCTGATAATTTTGATGATTACAATAGACATACAACTACGGAAAACTTGTAGGTAATACTCCACAAACCACTTTTTGTTCTTTAAATATACTTCGTTTGCCATTTTGGTCAATACTGTACGTACAAACTTAAAATAGGGCTGCTACGTTTTGATTTTTGTAACTGTATAAGCTGTGCTTAGGAGGTAAGGTCGATTTGAGCTGATCGCACAAGTGCCAGAAATTAAACTATAGCGATTGACACTTCAGTTGTTTCATCCAAAATAATTACCTACAATGATTATTTGAAATTCAAGACGCAATATGCAGCTTAGTTAGTAAAATTGGTGGGTATATAGTAGTTTCACATAATCCAACAATTATTTTACAAATTCAACCATACCATCGAGAACTTAAAAAATTACTTCATTGTTACATACCTACTTGTACCATATCTCCCTACAAAAATGTGTCATTTTGATATTGATCATAAATTGAAAACCTCCTGTAGTATAATTATGTATCATAAATTGCTCATAAATATTCACCATTATGTGTGTAGTCGTTCGTTTTGCGCACTTGTGGTGAACAAACATTGCATATTTATGCGCGATTTATGTACAGCTTATTAAAACTAACCTGCATGCAATAAATATGACATCTACTGATAATTATTGATTTAGAAATCAGAGTTGATAAAGTGAGGTTTTCATGGAAACAGACACTCTGGCTTTTAAGAACCTGATACCAGTCCTCCGTAAACATATTATTAGCTAGAATAGGTACGTACCTACCATGATACAAAGAATGTATTCTTTGAAATAAGAATTTTATGTGTCCGTTTTGTTTTCTACTGATCAGTGAAACCATACGCGAAAGCAAAAAGTACATGTGCGTTTCGTTTTCGGCGGCATTTCTCGACAAGTAAACGAAGAAGATCTTTTCAGGCCGAGTTTCATAAAACATATTATTTCCGAAGGGATTTATAGCGACCTGCCTTAGATATCAATGTCTATAGCTTCTGTGACATGAAAAACGATAATTTTTAAGCTAAAATATCTCACATTATACCTATTTTTGACTGGTCCATTTATTGCTTGATCTTATTAGCTCTCCACCATCGTCATTGGTTATTATAAGTTCTGTTAAAGACGATGGAATCTTAATGCATTGACAGTGATCAATATCGATTGTACTATAAGTTGTCTGTTTCTATGAAAAATAAAAGCATACGTTCTGTATAATGTAGATCCTATCTTAATGTTACCGTTGGCCAAAGTCCGTGGTAACTATAATCATACTATGCTATATTACCATATTGGTAGAATTGCGTATTTTATAAATTCTTTGTATGAATAATAAATTATTTAATAAAAGTTAGTGTCTTTATTCAAATAATAACAATCACTATATACATCGAGTCACCCCATATTTTCTTTATACGCACTACTTGCACAGGGAGTACTTTTATTCTTTGAATTTTTAAATGTACCTATATACCTGATGTACATCAGGGACATTCTAAAGTTGGTAATTCGGTAATTAAATTCCTCTGACAAGGCAAAAAAATCTCAACTCAAAGAAACTGTGCTAAAAATATTTAGGTACAAGCGTTTTCACTGATTGTAATTATTATTATTTATTATTACCATTTTCCAACGGTAAGGACAATGTGAAACTAAAAGGTAGGTATAGTCATAGAGTATTTACTCTATGGTACAGTGCATACCAATGAATTCTTCTATACGTAGTTCTTATACTATTTTCACTTTTGCAAATAACAAAATTATGACTATATATTAGGGTGGCGCTTGGGGCGGCGCAGCATAGGGATTTCAATGATAATTTCTTTATAGTCTATTATTAGCTCCCATAATTATTTTAGAACAAAATTCTAGAGTCTAGAGTAATAGTATGAACAGATGCAGTATTTTTTTCTCTAAAAAAAACCTATTTAGACCTTTGCTCTAAAATAATTAGGGGAGCTACTAATTGACAGTAAAGAAATTACCATTGAAATCCCTATGCTGCGTCGCGCTAAGCACCACCCTGTATAGGAAGAGGTTCCATTCAAATGCGTGTTTTTTGTTTCGTTCAAAAAACATATACCGATTTTTGATGCTCTTATTTCGCAATGTCATCTTTTTGAGCCTTTGCTGCTGGGCAATACAGACCGAGATAGATTTTGTGAGATGATTAGTGAACGTCTTTGACCGCAATTATATTTAATTAATAACATTTGATATTTCATACTGAGAGAAGCCAATCAAAATGTTTTTAGTAATTTTTGAAACATTAGGTAGGTACATATAGTATATGCTACCAAGCGAATAGACAATGAAAAACATCTGGCAATTTGTGCTAGCGCCCTATTCTCTCCAATATCATGTTATAACGCTTTTGTGTGGTAGATAGTGGAGTTGAAGCTTTACTGTCAGGTTATATGTCTTAAGTTTGCAATTCGCACAAATTAACTTTATTTGCCAGGCGATTGTTTCTAAACCGGAAAAATATCACTTTCAATTTTCAAATGAAGGCCTTTAAAAGATATAATTCACAATTTTGTTCTCGCTTGTCTTAACACCGTATTTTATTTGGTACCAGGAGTTGGAAGCGGACCAGAAAAGAACCGGAAGCGGAACCGGAACCGAATGCATTTATAAGCCACTTACTTGGAACTCAAACCGTTATTCGAGAAGCCATAATAAAACCGACATTAGATAGAGCTTATAAATGCAATCGGTTTCAGTATGTGTTCTTTTCGGTTCCGGTTCCAACCCCTGATGCTAACAGGGGGGGAGTTAAGATAAATCGCGGTTTCTTGAAATTAATTTAATAAATTTAGGCTTCCATTTGTGAGATCATTTTTAACAAGCCACTGCCTGGTCCGTTATGTTTTTGTATAAAAATAAACAGTTATTTCAGTTTTAAATAACAAACCTGATCATATAGCTAGGCAGGAAAAATTCTCCTGTGCATACCACTTAAATTAATTTAATTGTAAGAAAAATTGAAAGAAAAATAGTAAAAGTTCTCACCAGAAAATTGCAGAATGTTTTTCAGCAATAAATATTGCAGCAAGAAATTGCACGTGCCATTTTAACAATTCACAGAGCATTTTGTGGTGCAATATCTTGCGGTAATAAAATGCTGCAAGAATTGCAATAAAAATTGCATCGTCTAATACGGCCTTTAAAATCAAAACTTGGTATGTAAGTGTGGTCAATTTACTGGGAAAAATATAAAATAGCGTTTGTATAGGGGTTATATTTTTTTTAATTATCCGTGAAAGGATCCCTAGAATCCCCCTATACGTGGAGGGGGGGGGGATCTTACTCCCCGGAATGCGATACCCAACCATCATTGTACTAACATTTTCCCTCCCCAAGATCTCGCATGCGCCTGTTTTACGTCAATATGCCCGTATGTCGGTTGCGCCAGTGCAGCAACTTCACTAGAATTTCAAATCGTCAAAATCGTGTGTCATAGGCCAGAGACTTGTCATAGGCACGGTCGTATGTCATAGGCATATCATACGACTATGGTGTGCGCTCATTTTTAACGGAATTACAGTTGGTTGCTACTTTCAACGCTAGCATTGATTATAGTGTATACCGGGTGGTGCACGGCAAGTAGTTAAAAGTAAATTTCAACATGTCTGTTATTAGTGCCAATTAAATTCATAAAACAACAAAAGTCATGGCTATTGCTACTAATAACTGAAATGTTGAAATTTATTTTCAAATTTGCGGGTATACTTTAATAACATAATTTAAACTCTACAGTTTTGTCTGTAAAATGTACAGGAGTGCAGGATATTGCATACAACTAATTTCCCATGTTCAATCCCTGTTTCTACTTACGTTGCACCACCCGGTATAATAAATGACGTTGAACCATAGAATAAAAGCCGTTCTGTTCTATGGTGAAACCATAGAGTTGCTGTTTATCTTTTAGCTTGCGACCTTCAATTGAATCAGTTCATTAATCTGGTTCAACTTCAGGATGTTTTTGTGTAATAGATATTTATTTATCTTTAGTAATAAACATAAACAGTATGGTTTATTTTCTTTTATTCTATTTATACTACATTGTCTCTAATGTTTCTTTCACCGCTTCCATTCAACAATAGCTCTTAGACAACATTTTTTCAATTTGGTGAGTTAACCTCTACATGCCCCTTTTCTACTTGTTTTTCATTTGTAGGTGGTTCTCCATTCACCAAACATGGAAGAATTAAAAAGATGCGTTGAGGAACTTTCTTCTAGAACCAATGAATGTGCGGACAAATATAAAAATCGGTTATACCGATTATTGTCGCAAACCCAACTATTTGGTAACAACATTGATGACATTTTACCGAAATTGTTTGCCCTTATACACAGAGGTGCAATTCAAAGGGATTTGATGTATTTATGCTTATTAAGTAATGACGATACAAAGGCAATCTCAATGTTCCTGGAGTATGAAAAAAGTTCATTTCAGTTAGACCTCAAGGATTCATCATCTCTGTATGATTTTTGTGTCTTTACTAATAAGCATTGGCTTTTGGAAACTATACAGAATAATGTGATAGATGAAGATCAATTCTCTATTAAGATTGTGTTAATATTCCGCATTCTCCAGTTAATTGCGGCCAGTAATGAGGAAAACATCAATTTGCAAAAAATAAATGAATACATCCAACTTATAAATACTCAAAATAATTCATTTATTGAACAATATATACATCGGTTAAATAATATTGTGGATATTACTCGTATATGTTCAGATGTTTCAAATTCGGATGTTTATTATTACGCGGCGACTCATACTCCTTTGAATACTTTCTCGACATTTCTAAACTTAGGGTCGTCTTCAATCTGTGATGCTATATCTGCCAAACTAAGCACGACCGAAGATCCCTTAGAAAGTGACACATTCGCTGGTTTTAACATACTATCAAATTTGTTTGACTGCCTTAAAATGTGTAAGAATGTAATTTCCGGCCGAAATCTGCAATATAAAGATGAGATATCCGATAAGATTAGTATTATAAAAATGAAATTAACAAATTTGCGCGATTTCAAAATGCAAGTCGAGATACTGGAGAACATATTCGTACTATTATTTCTACAGGAGAAGCACTTGAACGGATGCCCCGATAAAAACGGAAACAATTTTTACTGTACTGAAAAGGAAGTACGTCTAATTCTAATGCTATTAAAAACTGTTATGGATAATATGAAAATCGAAACGACCCATAAACAATCTGATGAATATCGCAGATTTACAGAGTTGAACAGGAACGTGTCCGATGGACTTTGGAGACTGGAATTGCTAGTTTCGGACTTGAACAAGAAATACGAAAAGAATGTCATTTCATATCTACTGTCGTCACCCGAGTCGCTGATTCACTTAAGTCTGAAGCAGAACGACTTCAACAAGGCGCATCAAGTTATTCAGGTAGGCTATAAGTTTAACAGTGCTTTTTCCAGGTTCTTATAAGCGTATTTTTCGTAATGTGTCGGTTTGTATGTGATCACTTTTTTGGCCGACTCTTTGTAAGTACCTGGCGGATTGTCCATTAAGAACTTTTTCGCTTTATCAATGTTCTGATGGGGTTTACACGTTGAGCATTGGAAGCAGCAACAGCACCATCCTGGAGTGTTGGGGTTTGCACTGGTGCTTTTATTATTTGTTACACTTACCTCTTTGGCACCAACATGGAATTGCAATTATGAGGTACATTGCGATCCATATGAGGATTAGTTTCTTAACTCTGTTAAGTAGTTCACTCCGTTTTGCCTTGTTAGTTTTAGGATCCATTATGTCAGTCATAAGGCATTGTACAGCAGATAAACCTAATAACAAAATTTATTTCAATTTTAATTAAATACTAAAGTACAGTAAGTCAAATTGGTGGGACTGGTTTTAATACACAATTTGAGATACTCATTAATTCATGCATTTTCTTTCCAAAAAAGTACTCTTAAAATGCAGGATGTTTCTCAATATCATACAACAAAAAAATAAATTAAAAATAATCTTGTTTCAGCAAGATCTAGTTACGCATGGATGTTTTGTTGAGAAATGAATGTAAAACACTTGATTTTGAAATTGTTCTTGTAAATTTATGTAAATGTATAGTGGTGACAGGTCATTATTTTCTTTTTTTGTCCTGTATCTCATTCCGTAAAAATTCTATATGGCGTCCATAAGAATTAAGAATGTAGTAGCCTGTAACTTCTACATCTAGCATGTTATGGATATTCTCCAAAAATAGTGTCCATAAAAGGTGCTAACGCGAACCGTTAATTTCAGACTGTTTAACAGAAAATGAAAACAAAATTTGACATTTTCAAATTTTAATGATCTCAGATATTTTCAAAGATTTTTCAAAAATGTTAAATGCGTTTTTTAATCACAAAAAGGAGCCCCCATTTAATTCACACTGTATCTCTCATCGTTATGGAGACTTGAACCACTCTGTACGTATTTGATTTTAAACATAGGCGCTGTGTTAGAAGCATCCGAGGAAGCATCTGTAGTTAGCATTTAAAAAAATCACGTATCTTGGTATTTAAGGATTTGATATGCGCTACGTTTGTTTTTATGAGAACCAATTATGGTTACAATTTCAAAAAATATTTATAATTAAGAAAGTTGACATTGCGCAGTTTGTGCGTATTAATCGTCAATATTTTTCTCGGCTCGGAACTACTAGGTGGCGCAACATTAATCATTTGACGTTTGTGAAGTAGACAGTTCCAGTATACAAATAGACAAACAATGGAGCGCTATCTGAGAGATTAGGAAACATTTTGGGTAAAGCTATGAAAATTGTTCTTTGACTCTCCATCTTAAGGCTCCTCTGTAGTCAATTTGTATTTCAATGTTTTTGCAATGGGTTAGACCACCAACAATACACATCTCTAGACGATATACCTACTCCTTGAGTGAGACCAACGATGTATCTCTATCCTTTCCAATTTTGCATCTTCTCTTCGTTTATTGTTAAACACAATAGACCATGTATAATGGTCAAGGACTAATATTATGTAAACAAGTTTAGCGAAAAGATGTACAATATTTGAATGGAGATGCACAAATGCCTATTTCTTTTACTATTGAGTAAATTACTTATTCAATGCATTTACTGCATTTTTCTATAATGACACCTTCTGTAAATTACTTGGTTCTTAGGTCATTAGTGGACTAGATTAGCATTGTTTGTTAACATTTTTAATTACCCCTTTATTTCTTGTGAGTTTTTCTAATCAATTATACTGATTTATAGATTTTTATAGTTATTAGATAGACATGTGCATGAATGAATTCACTTAGGACTTAGGTATGGTAGAACCTAATAAACCGGCACTTCGAACACCTAAAATAAATCTCTTTATTTTCTTATACAATAAGGGTGAACAACAACAAAAAATGTATTTTTTAAAAATGGTAGCTAACATTTAAAATTCTGTTACAATGATTAAAAGTATAACATATAAATACCGATTTTTAAATAAATTCTTATCTTTTCAAAAAATAATAATTGTACATTTAGCGTTATACTTATTTATATTTATGCACAAACCATGTAGAATTTTTCCGAACATCTTATGTGCAGCAAGATGACTTCGCTTTTTTGTCCTAAATTGAGAATTCAGTTGTAAAATTTGTTGATTCCGCGGTTGATCCTCTATTTTCTGAGAGGCAAGATCGGAGATGATGTCAGTTCATATTCGCTAAGTTGATGTGAAGTTTGCGGGATTCCAACATATTCTCAAACGGAAAAAATAAATAGTTGAAATTTTTTAAAAGTGGGAGAATTTGTTTACCCACCATTAATTACCGGGAAAACCCAAAATTTCACCCATGTTTTGATACAAATATTCATTTTCGTGATGTCTCACTACCTTGACTTGACATGAGCAAAACTGACACTTTTTTTAAATAAATTTGTCAGTGTCGCCTATTAGTTATCGTATCCCACTTAGAAATTTAGTTAAAAAGGGGAATTGGAACATTTTTTGTAACAGTTAAAATGAACAAGTGCAATCGAATTTCTTTGAAATGGTAGGCTCAGAATGTGAAAACTATTGGGCGCAACTTTCTCGCCAATTTATTTGTAAAAATCGAAATTTGTCGTTCCTTTATTTTTTGATAAGCGGATATTCCTGATATCTGATCATATTGAAAAAATAAGTAGCACTTGCCTCTCTAAGTCTCGACTCAGTAGTAGTGTTTGCGAATTGTGATACTGTGCTACCCGCTTGTGTGGTGGTCATGCGTTAGTCCAAAAAATCAAAACGGTGCCACATTTCTACACAAGAACAAATATGCGGCAAAAATGTTTCTAATTACTGGTACAGTCGTATTCCGCCTAGGGGTTTAGCTAAAAATTGGGCTACTATTTGATACCTTCCTAAACAAATTTCTTGAAGCATCCTGATAGAATGAAAAAGGCTTTAGAAATCAAAAATTATTTCCAATGTACCTACAATAAATATGCATTTAGTGCACTTTTCGTCTTAGGAATATGTGACATTATGATTCACAAATCAACAGCATTCATGAACATTAGCCAATTATATAGTAATTTATCTAATCCATATCATTGGGAACGGCGTGCCAATGTGCAGGATAATGCTAGGTAGTTTCTTTTGTTTTCCCTTTCAAGTAACGAGTTGTCGCCTCAGGAGTTATAGTGCAATATGAGTTGCCTATCCTTACGTTAGCGTTTTGATTTTTTTCTAAAGATCGCGATCGCGATACATATTTTATTTTTCATTTGCCTATTATATGTCAATTATATCTGTCATATAAGATATATAAAGCAGTCTATGAGAGGGCATACTGAGATGACAATCCATTATGTCCTCTCATTATGCCCTCAAACTTCATGTCAAATATATTGACGGAGTTATGTAATAAAAAAAGATGCTACTTGATTCGTATGATGCACTAACAATAATCATTACATTTGTATATTGGAAATGCATTACTTGGAACGATGAAAAATAAAATGTTGTATGCACCTCAGGCATTACTCGATATTTAACCCTCGGGCGACTTACAATCCCTCGGGCCAGAGGCCCTCGGGCTCTGTCGCCCTCGGCATAAATATCACCTTAATGCCCTTGATACATAAATAACTATTTTAAAATATGTGCATTATCATAATAGGTGGAAATAATATCTTTAAGTACCGCCGTAGGAAATACTGTCGGATTTCCAAATTGGTGCTGTAGGTTTTTCTACTCCCACTACAACGGCTGTTATTTACGAAAAACGATTTTTCTATTCATCGATCTTCCTAAAAAACTAAGACCGATATTTCAACTTTTTTTAAGTACCGCCGTTCTTTTCATCATTGCAAAGAATATCCACTATCGAGAATTTGTTAGACTGCAACTACAAAAGCAGCATTTTATAAGAAAGTTTAGCTATTTTTTCAATATGGCGGATTGACTACAGAGGAGCCTTAAAGTTCCGACGTGGCCCTACACTCATTTGTCCCTGCAACCTGGGGGGGGGGGGGGCTGCATACACAAAGGTTGATTGCTAATGACTGCACCATTGTTTCGACTACGAAACTCCATGGTTGTCAAAATCGTGTAGAGGATTTCTGGTCAACCACTAGGGTACAGGTAAGCCCATATGGGTAGGGATTGCCTAACCATCCAGGCATAAACTAGCCAATTTCTATATTTGTTTGATTTTTTCAGTGCCTTAGCTCCAAATTTGCATAATTAGCTACAAAAGTAAGGAATGTTTAAATCACCTCCAATTTTGATGGCACTCAGAGGTATAATCTGAGCCCTGTGACACTTATAATTAAGTTATTCCTGAACCTCTAATGAATTTTCGTGCACAGTTTTTTTGGTTTTCACATATAATTTTTTCTTGAACGATTTTATGACACTGAGCAACTTGGTTTGTTTGTTAACGAAAAGTCTTTATGGCTTAAGTTTGAACGGACTATAATTAACACGTTTCCGGTACTCATGGTCGACCGTGAACTGTGCGTAGTACTCCCATAAGATAACGGTTAAAATTGTTCTTGTGGCTCAAAACTGAATACCCCAATTCTATCCCTCCTGGATTAATCCCTACTTTTCTTTTTAAATTTTTTAGCACGCCCAAAATGGCGGCCATCTTTAATCAGGAACCAATCGGATTCGTTTGCTTACACCAATCAATTGCTTTTAACAGCCGTCCATCAAAAGCCACGGTCGTTTAATATACCCAATTCAGCGGTTCACACAAATCCGCAAGATATCGTCATGAGTGATCCTGACTGGGCTGTTAAAATTACACATCGCCAATTTTATTAAGAACATAAAATTTGGTATCTGGTGATCTTAGCACATGAAAATAACGAAATCAATTCTTTACTTTTGAAAAGAAAACTGTTATTGACTAAGAGCCCCCCCCCCCCCCCCCCTATACCCGCCCATCTGCGACCATATTCAGTAACGGGAGTAGTTCGATCACGGTCTACCTTAAAATAACAATAGTAATAATAATCGTAATGATAATGATGATCTTAATTTAGATTTAACAAATTGTATTGTGTTTGTAAAGTTCGATTCCACTTTCTTTTAGTACTACTCATCACTATTGATGAAATCGGAATAGGTTTAAAAGTTTTGACAACATTTTAGCGGCTAAACAGGAGTTGCTCGTGATCAAATTGTTTCCCAGTTTTGAAAAATAATGCGAGAAAATCTGGTGTGGAGATAACCCTAAGAACCATTATAACCGAACTTTTTATTGAGATGGCGTAGTAACTATAGCCAGCCAGAATCTTCGATCTTACCTATCCCTTTTTGTTGTTCAACCGTGCAATTCTGCTGAACTGGATGCACAACTGCATTAATAGCGTCATTAAAGCTTTCTTCTTCTTTAGTATCAGAATACTTCAATGTCTTTTTCGATTTTTCTTCTTTTTTGATATCGTTATCATACTCAACTTTTAAAGCGTCATAATTGTAGTCTTCTTTATCGTGAGTTTGTCGTATTTTGTAATTCCTCTTGTCATTCGTACCATTATCCTATAAGAAAGTTACTCGTTGTCAGTATGGGTATTTTTCTTACATTTGGATATATGATAGAAGTTTCCCATGGTTCTTCATCATTTGCACTTTGAAAATGCTCTTTCGGTTTTAGTTTCAATTTACTGTTGTACTGAAACTCTTTTTTGTTATTGTAATTGGAGGATATTTGGTGTAACTTTTTAAAATGTTTACTGTCGACCTCTAAATTTTGTTCGTTAACTTCATCTTCTTTTAGCATCTCGTCTTCGGCCTGATAGACATCATCATTTTCGTCATGTTCTATATCTGATATTATAAATGTTTCTTCGTTTTTGAAGCTTACATTGTATGATAACGGAAAAATGCATGCAGATGGGGAGTATATATGCACTAAAAATAGAACAACAATTTGTGCTATTACTGTCATGATGACAATTTATTTTGAATTTTAAATCACTACGGCTACTATACTCATTCAATAATAATAGTTCTACTTTTCTCACGGCCGGTTGCAGGAAAGCGGATTATACTCAAAACCCTGCACTATTTACCAAATCTGAGTTTAAACAAGAATTTTGACATTTGATGGGCTGCATACTGCAGTATAAAGCCAATCAATGTCTTAATACCGGATCAAACAATGATCCTGGATTATTTTTTTTGGTGCAACTGGCCGTCAGCTCTTTATTTTGATTACTAGCTGAAACCAAACCATCCACTAGATAGATCAGCCCCCCTGGTTCAAATCCGGCTTCGGACATGAAAGTTTGTAACTAAATGTTGGTTTGAGTCAAGTTAGAGCAGCTTTGACTGAACCCCACTCTATCCTGTACCGTTCATCTTTTATAAATTTCTTTGTGTCTATTTCAGGGCTCAACAAAACAAACCGCGAGATTTTACAAAATAGTTTTTTTTATTACTTTTCAGATATTCAACATACAACACAGCAACATCGCATCGGAAATAAACTACAGCGTCAATTTTATTGATCTCAAAGCAAACCTGCGAAAATCGTACAAAATGCAACAAATTGCGCAGAAAAACCCGAATATTAGTGTAGATTGCCATTCCAGAGAGGAGATTCTTAATGAATTTTTCAAAACAAATTATATCGAAAGCCGGGAACCAGAGGAAAATAGCTCGAATCGGCATTTAGTCGAAAATATAGGCCCTCAAACATTCAAGTTTATGACGATTGTCGATCTAATTCTGACTTTGCCCAATAGCGCGGACGAATGTCGCGACTTAATTAAATTAGCCGTTACCTATAGTGATGCGGATATTGACGAACAGCATTTAAATTTCTTTAAAAGAATCACTGAGGCTTTCACAGTAATAGACACATTGTCCATGAAAGAAATTTTATGCAACTCTGAATTTGAACTCAACACTGACCAGCAGAAATCAAAGGAGTCATTCTATATCCAACTGCAGAATCTTGCAAATGTGTTTTGCAAACAATTGGAGACTACAAACGATGGCAAGCTAAACGAGAAACACTCCGCCCATAAGATTTTCATCAAATTGCACCAGCTGTTCTTAAGTAATTATACCGAAGGGAAAGAACATATGCGTTATCTCCTACGATTGTTTAATTACCTCAAGGGGTTTTCCAAAATATTTTACGTTGAGCAAAATAATTCTGATGTTATTTCAAAGGGTAAAAATACATCTTTGTTTACAATTTTAACTATGGGTAGATCGGAGATCTTGGAGAAATTGCTTTTTGAAAGAAATCTTGATATTAGCGACTTTGAGCAGTTATTTCTTAAGCTTAAACTGGATTTAGTGTATCATGTCGCTTCGATTTTTTTCCCGAGTATTTCTTTGAGCAGTTCTTATGTATCAGAAAGGAAAGAATTGAGACCTCCAAATGCGCACGTGATTACATACATACAAAAGCGTAATTGGTTGTTGGCTTACATACTGAAGAATATTTACAAGATCGAAGACTCGGATGTCGTTTTAAATGAAGTTCGTATAAAAGCCCTCGTTAATTTTCTTAAACTGCCGCGCATACAGCACCTGACAGACTTGTACAACAATAATGCCATGGTAACCGCTTTGCAACAGAGCATAAACCCGTCCATTCTGAAAGAATATTTTGATAAACGCACTGTGAAAATCAATGACGAAATCCAACCCGGATTTTTGCTGGGATCACAAGTTAGCACCGGGAGCTTGGAAACTGGTGAAGAGATATTCGAGGGAAGTCTCAAGATCACCGATTGGAAGCATTTGTTTGATATAATCGACAACATTCCTCAGTATCAACTGTGCAACAATGCGGAACTTATGGATCTACGCGACAAGGTCCTCATCGAATTAGTGAGCGACTGCTTTGAACCAGATTTTTATAAATACGTGCAGTATATCACTAATGATCGACTGAGATGCGAGTGTATTTTGAATAATTTTACCACGTGGCCGGGAGAATTTTGTATTAGTGTTATGAAATCGGAAATGTCAAGTTTTTCGCCGATCGATCAAGAATGCCGAGCGAAATTTAAGGAATGGTGTGAAACGATTGACTTGTGCGAGAAGGTAAGAAAATACCTTCACAGATTCCATAACACACTAACTTTATAAATTAATAAAAAAACATTTCACCATATTATTTCACATACAATTTCAGTCACTAACAATCTATATTAGGGTATGGTCTGTGGATAAGTCATCGACATATAATAAATGAACTGCGTGTGCCAATGCTACGCACGGATACGGCAGGTGAGGGAGAATGGAAATCTAAGAGGGCAAGCTGTCTCTTACATTTACGCATCTGATTGGTTCTTTCAACAGAAGCGATAGCGATCGCATACAAATTAGATTCACGTGCACACACACTCGACAGAGGACGCACCGAGTCCCATCTCACAGTGAGGCTGAAGGCTTCAGTGAAATTGATTGCTCCACTGTACCATCACCATTGTATTTGACCTTGCACACCGACCGACAGTCCTTCTTATCAGCCGGCCTAAGAACTAGGTCCCAAGTGTAATTTTCATTGAGCACATTTACTTCCTCAATCATTGCCATTTTCCAATTTTTGGCTTGAGCACCTTCAATGGCTTCACTGTACATAGACGGTTCAGTTTCACAAGCTATCATACTGACTACATAGGCCTTCAACTTCCTCGGCATCTTCAATTTGGATCTGTCTCGGAATTTCCACTGTTGTTTTCCTCCATTTTCCTCGAATGAGTCTTCATTTCTTTGTGTCTTGAATGCTGAAGTTGATCCTGGTGTCAACAAGTTTGAGCTTGATTCCACAGGTCCTACTGCTGGTAGAGGTTCCCCTGCTTATTCTGTTGGTACTACCGGTTATGGTGTTGGTGTAGAATTCTGAGTTAGTGACGTCACTCTCATACTCGCTTTTACCCCTACAGTGTGACGTTAGAAAAAAAATAAGTTTAATGGTGCCACTGGCTCTACTCAGTTCCTGGGGTTGGCGGGGTCGTGGATACAAATATTTACAATTTCATTTAAATTTATTACATAATTTTTGGGCGCCAATCTGTCTTTAACTCACATGCCAACCGACAGATAAATCGGCACGTATTATTGATTATAAAGTTAACCTAACACTTAATTGATTTATATCACAAAGTTACGATTGATGGTGGTTAGAATTATGCTGTACTAATGGTGAATGATGGTTAATTGGGTGATAACTCAGGTACAAACAATTATGAACAGGGCGTTCTTTCTTATCTGTTTGTGGGTTTTCCGGAAAGGAATTGTGTACAGCCGAGCTGGCGGAGCAGGCTCTTGATTAAATTTGGAGGTCGCTGAATGCTGACAAAGATGCTGATTAGTTCAATATCGAAAGGACTCGGTATTCACTCTCCGTGCTTCGAATTTACTTCAAATCTATCTACATTCTATCTTCTATGCACATTGGGGTAAAGAAAGCCCTAAAAATTACGCAGTATAGGAATGGATACGAACGCCCTTCTTTTACTTACTATAGGTGGAAAACGGCTCGCGTTAACTTGGTCCGTTGTTAAATTTTTGGACGGCCAATTACGACAATTATTATTTCTTGTAATGCAATTCTCGGGCCCCAGTCGATTCGCAATTTCTCTTAAACGCCTTTATTTAATCTCCGCAATAAACACACTCTCTCTCATACTTTTCTCTTCTCCCTTTCCTTTTTGCTTAACGCAACCGCCTGTTTCCCAATCTACTTTCTCCCTCCAATTTTCCGCGCGCACGCCGATTTTACACGTTACAACAGTATTCAAAGATGGCAGTTGACTGATTTTCCATCTTGAAGCTCATATCCCTCAACACAATGACTTTAGATTCCTCCAGTATCCATACGCAATAGCCGTTCTTGTCCCACAGTACCTAACTAAACGAGCTTTTTTGTCAAAACTTCCTCTTTGTCTCCTTTAGCATATGTACAAAGCATTCAGTACCGAATCGCAAGCTTCTTCTTGTACCAAAGTTCGTATGGCGAAATCCCTGGTTCTGGAGACGGCCCTGTATCGTTTAATCACTCACGCAGCTGTCATCACAGCCTCGGTCCAAAATGTTTATGTTAGTCCAAAATCTTACAACATACCGTCAGCGACTTCTTTTTGGCGATTATTCTGGTATAGGCCCCCACACACACTTCAACGTTGATCCCGGTCATCCGGGCTAGTTATGACCTTTGCCTTTGCTCTCTTTTTTTTATTCTCGCTCCCACAATTTTTTCAGCAATGGATTCAATAAACTACGTATAAAATGGCGAAAGTAATAATACCATTAGTACATACTTTGATTGATTAAATTTCATCTTTTATCGTTTTACTCTTTCCATATAAAACGCTAATTTCATTCCACCGAATTGGTTAAATAAATCTTGGAGTAGAAATAAGTATTAAAATACAATAAAAATGTGGTTCTGCTTGTAGATAAGGAACATGTCAAATAAAGACACATGGTTTGAGGTATGGCAATTGTCTAGCAATAAACCAAGCGATATACTTCAAACTCTTATAACAACGGTGCATGTATGTAAAGGTGTATACGCATACTAGCAAACTTCGAAATTTGTGCAATTTCAGGTGGAAATACTGTTGCAGTTTATTGATATCTTTGAAATCGATTCTAAAATGCTAGAAAGCATAGATGAACACTATTTCATAGCTTTATTCGATTCAATGGAATATTCCAAAATCGAAGTTTTATTGAGTAAATTACCCATCGAGTACGCCACTTCGATATGCCATAATTTGGTTACAACACTGCGAAATTTAGAGCACCTTAGCTTTACAGTCGATATTATTTCGAAATGGAATCTAGTTGATCATAACAATATTTTAAAAGACATCAAAATTAGCCTATCGATACTTTCGTGTTTTACCCAGTCGGAACAGGAGAATTTATGGTGCCTAATTGCGGAACCGTCAACAATCGTAGAGATGCTGGTTATGAATACTCGGTTGGAGAAGTTGGGTCAAGTACTCGAGAAAATTCGGCCGGATCTTGAAAATTGCGAATTTGACGAGAGCGAATTGTCCCTTGAGAAGATTGACGACATTCTAAGGACGTACGCAGAGAAAAGCTTGGAATTTCGTGTTGTGCTCCAGCCGGAAGTGAAGTTCATCAACTCGCCAGAGAGTAGCAAGCTGTTACAATCGTTGGATTCGATTAATTTCACAACGGCTCCCAAGTACTTTGTCATGCCTGAAATGGTACCTGCTAAAACTGAATGGGTGGAAAATTACGAGGTACTTACCACTTGCAGAGACATTAATTATGTTGTACAATCTTAAGGTAACTGAGTGCATGTGCTGTGCACAAACAACATTTTCAATGTTCAATAGACGTCACCATTGCAGAAGATGTGGAAGGGTGGTTTGTGGTACATGTTCTGTAAAACGCATGCATGTAAGTCTCGTCCTGGTTAAATTCTTTGCATTCTGATTGCATTTTAGGTGCCAACCTATGAAAATATTTTGGTACGAGTTTGCTTAGATTGTTACGATCAGGCTCAGCAAGATGGAGCAGGCACCTCATCTTCTAAAAGTGAGGCGTCAATAAGAACACTAGCCGTTGATTGGCTGCTTACCGATGACACTACGCATAACGAAATTGTTAGAGAAGAGTTTTCATACGAGTATGCGCCAAGCGTCTCCCTTTGCCTCTCCATTTTAAAGCATCATTCTAAAAATGAGGAATATCCCAAGTTGGTACTCGTTTCAGTATTGCCCATCTTATTCATTAATTGCTGTAGGTTTCTCTTGGATCAATGTGACGCGATGTTACGATTGTTGCAGCCAATGTATTCAGAGTCATTACAAGAGATTGACTACCTATTGGTGATAAAGATGCTCAAGTAAGTAGTGTTTGAGTGTGAGACCATAAATCTGTCCTGTTCTTGAGGCAGTTTTTATAGGAGATGTAAGATGGTCCAAGATTGAAGTTGTAAAAATAAAAGTCCTGATTCTATGCATCATTTGGTGATTTTATTTCAGTGGGATTCAAAGGGTCTAAACTAGGTACATTAATGTTTTGCAAGTTCAATAATTCTGGATATGGATGTCAATAATTCCATTTTATTATTTACACTTTATAGGTAATCATGTTATATTTAAAATGGTTTCCTTTCGTAATACTAAATTTCATTCATAATTCGCGATCATATTAACACTTGAGGCGCTTATGTAATTTAGAAATGACGTGTATAGTTGGTAGCGGTTTGTAAACATTGGGTTATTCTTGCAGGATTAGAATTGAACACGATCCATAACTCTTGTGGTAGTAGGTACCTTCTTAAGTATATACTTTCTTGCAGGTTTTTAAGTGAAATTTTACTGTTTTGAAAATGAATTCAGTTTATCCTGCCGTTTTTGAGCCTAGACAATATAACCCCCTAATCATATCCTACCTAAGAACTTGAGACTGCAATTTTTCTAATTACAAACATCTTATATCATTCAATTTCTAGCGCACTCTTACAACTGTTAGTACAACTTACCGACGTTCCCTTACGTCGATTTTGCTTTAAAACGGCCTTACTACTCGTGGACAATTACACACAATTAATTTTAAACAATAGGTATTTTTCAATGTGTTTAATAAATGTCGATTTAATTTTTTCTTACTGTTGGTGGCATACCTAATCGCACAAAGTGCACCTTCAATGTGAATATGCCGCTTTAAGTTTTGCTAATAGGAAGGTATTCATCAAAGAATATGCGTTAGACGACGATTTCTTAAATTTAAGGTGTATTTACTTTTACAACCCAAAAACTACAATATTCATTACTTGGGCATTGTAAATAAACAAAATGGCGGTCTTATACCACCAATGGTAATTACAGTGTGCTGCCACCAGAGGTCTCACTGTTAATCTGAATCGCGAATAGGTTATAATATAGATCCATTCGCATAGCGATAGTACATATGTAAAACACAATTTTGAATTGGGTGCTTATTGCCCTCTGCTACGTTTCGAGAAACAATCTGCACTCAGGATTAAAACACACACTTTAGTCCCTTGATATCTGTATATTCTTCTGTACTTGTGTTTGTGACTGAACTTCTCCCAAACGGCTGGACTGTTTTGATGACATTTTTTTGTGTTTTATAATGTGTCCCCGGGTGGTTTAGATTCCCAACTGGGCCTGATCAGTTTATAAGATTTTTTTTAACTTTTTTTGTATATGTCGCACTCTGATATTTCACGTACCGATCCATACATGCTCCAAGTCACTTGCGTCGTACCGTGGCGAAGTGTTATGTTCATATACCGTCAATATCGAGCGTACGAAGTCGCGGAGGAGAATCTCGTATTATATACTATTTCGATCAATGTATGTAATTCCAGTACCAGCCGCAAAAAATTTAAATATACCTATGTAGGCCACTATAGTATAGTATAGCTTTATGTTCAGCATCTATTCTTTCCAAAGACTCATGAGATCTCTACCGCAAAACGTGCAAGCGTTTAGCTTTACCTGCATTATTGCGCAGAGACAACAACAAAACATGCGTTCCTAAATCCCAAAATACATTTTCATGAGTTTATACTGTGGAGAGGTTTTATTTGAGTTTGAACTTGACAAGAGAGTTGAGTATCGCTATGATTCAGTCGTGGCAGTTACATTTGATCCTGTTCTTCACAATAATTAGTCAAAAAGGTTAGGGAACGGAACAATCTCGCTTGTTTGTAGTCTCTCATCAGTTGGCACCCATTCACTGAAGTTTAATTCAGACAGTCACAGGGCACTTCAGGAAAATCTCTTGAATCTTTGGCGCTCGACTGTATTATCTCTGAGGTGACGTCTCTGATAACGGCGTTACGGCACGTTGCGCCGGTGCTTGCGTTCAGTCTTTTTGGAGTGACGTACTTTCCGAAATTCCAACGGGAACGGGAACAGGAGAAAACAGGATTTTGTCTTACAGTCGAAAAGAGACTTCACATTTAGAACGTAAATTTCTTTGAAGGCGTTAAGATGTAGTCCAAAAGAGTCGGAAACGGAGTAGGGAAAAAACGGGATTTCCCAAAGGCAGTACGACTTTTGCCTGGACTGCTAGTTCATTATTGTTTAGTGTCACTTTTCGCCCCTCCTTTAACTTCTAATCCCTCCGGGAGGAAAAGCAACACCTTATTCCCTTAAGTGAATTAAAAAACTTAATTAATGTTTTAATCCTGAGGGTTCTCCAGGGATCCAGACGTACGTTGGCGTAGCTTCAAGATCATTCGCTTCTATTTGGAGTCAAAGGAAAATAACTTTGCTTTTCTCAACCAAATTTTTAAGTGCAAAGCCAGCGTATCCAACTGAACATTTGCTTTATACACCAAATCCACTATAAAAATCTGTTATATCTCTGCTTCATTAGTACTGAAAAGTGTCAATAGATGGACAGTGTACCTTTGGTCGTGTAGGGAACCCCTTAAAGTATACCCTACTGATGTGTATCTCAGCTTTACTTCTTATATTTAGGTCCCTTGCGATTGCAGCAAAAATGTTGTCCGCTCAATGTATGCTACAATGGGGATCATCTCTCGCCGATAGAATATTGTCACAGGCAGACCTGTTGGGATTGTTGGCGGAACGTGATTGCTTGCATTTAATTCCAACTACAACGCCCAGTCAAGTTCGATATATAGATGCGAATACTTTGAGACGTCTTCGTGATAAATTATTGGAACGAGAGCAATGGAATTTGGCACTTGAGGTCTCAACAAAGGCTGGTCTCGATAACGCAGGTATGTCCATTACTCAAATGTACTGCATACAAAGCAAGGCTTTATGGCTCAGTGGTAGAGCGTTGGGCTATAAATCCGGAGGTCGGGTGTTTGAACCTGGGTTGAGGTGAATTTTCATCTGTGGCAGAGATGGAAATTACCTTAGACCAGTTCTGATCATTCCACCGGCTACTCCAAATTAGGTTTTCCTGCAGTTTTCCTAATTTGTAAGGTAAATACCGGAGTAGTACAGAACAACTTAAGACCTTCTGCAGAGGCACCTCTAAAAAGCATTATGCGGTTCACTCTGTAGCCTGTTGAGGGCCCAGAACAAGAGAGGGATAATAATAATAATAATAACAATTGCAGGTGTTTTTGCCGCTTGGGGAAAGAGTTACTTGAAGGCAGGCAGTCTTCAAAGGGCAAGAGAAAAATTTCAGAGATGTTTTGATAAAACGGCTCACTATGAGACCTCCACCGAATTAAGTAATAGCTATTCAAGTACACAATTACCACATTATCTCTCAAAAGTGTTGCACTCCTCCGAAAACAGACCGATAAAAAATCCTCCGCTTCTGAACGAAATAATTCAAATCCTTGAATCATACACAACCATCATCGATCCTAAGATTGTAAAGGAGGTAAAAATGTCAAACACTCTGCTGTCCTCGACTTGCAGCTTAAACAGTAGCACAACGTCTGTACAGAACGATATGGCCGTTTGTATTCTAAATAAATTAAGAAATTTGAATAACGTCATGAATGGAAATTATTCCGCTTACTCTGATACTACGGAGTCTATGTCATCAGTGGGCAAAACGAAACCGTACCTAGAACCACTGTTTTATGAGGAATGCGTTTACTACCTAACCAAGTATGGGTCGCACATTAGTGTACTCGAATTCTATTTGAAACATTCAGATTATCATCAATGTCTGAAGTATATGTTAGATCATAGATTGAACTCGGATTACTTCATCGACGTATACATGCTGTGTTTAAAAGAAAACTGTGTGAGCGAGCTCCATGAAACAATGTCAGAAATTGATTCCACCTTAGACATCTGGAAGGTAGTAGTGTTGTAGTCTCTTCAAAAGCTTTAAGTGTCATATTTCAGGATTACCTAAAACACATTTGTCGACATTTAGAAAAGCAGTCCAATCTTAACTCTCTGTACGAGTTACAGCAATTCATGGGAGACTTTGTCAGAGCGGCATTAACTTGTATTAAATTTTACAAGGATGATGCGGCCACATTTACGGAATTAACTGGAAAAGTTGACTACCTACATAAGGCCCAGCAGCATCTGCAACAGGAGCTGGAACAAGAGCAATGGGTTGAAGTGGCTTCAGGTATCATTTTTTTTGTTTCTATCTAAAGTGCACATCAAGTGCATGCGAGGTTTTGAAAACCCCAGTTTCTATGCCTAACTCTTTTGTTGTAGTTCGTAAGCCAAATATGGACTCTCAAGATAGTTTTGAGGCAAAAGGTATTGCAAATCCTTCTCTGGTTATGAAGATCGATACGAGAAATGTTGACAAGCATATTAACACCATCTCGCGACAAATTGAAGTTGCAAAATTTTTGGCAGATTGTGAATTCTCCTCCGCTCCAGTCATGCAAATTTTACCTGAAATTTTACCTTTCGTTACTGAAGGTAAGCTGAACTAACTTTTGAACTTTTTGAAACGTAAACACAACCATGTCATCATTTTCTACTTTAATTACATACACAATGGCAAAGGGACCTAATTTAAAATTTAATCAATTTTTCAACTGATAACACATTCCTAGAAAATACAAAGAAATGTTTGCAACTATTTGCAAATAAGAAAATTGAAAAGTAATTAAAACAAAATTGCCGTTCTCTAAATTACATTAACGGTAAGTGTAGAGATTCTTCATCACAGCACGTACTTTATACAAATAAGACTAGGTAAGTAAAAACCTAATTGCAGATGCCTCATTTGATAGTTTGCACAAGACAAAAATTCCAACATTATTTGGTTCGTATTATGAAAGAGTGCAATTAGCAGTTCTAGCAATCGTATGTGGAACTAACATTGAGGATGGATTTGGTATCGCTTACAGGTGAATTAATTAAACTAGCATTTAATGACATTAATAATTGTCTTGAACAGGATTATTACGGATCATAAATTGAGCGCCGTCAAAGTGTATTGCCAGGCGGGCAAGCAACTCGCTAAAAGTGAAAAATACAATTCCATTGCCCAGTTGGTAAATTGTATTCGTTCAAGTGGTGTTAGTGATTCAGCCGTAACCGATATGTGCGATGAAATGCTTATACTCGCCGTTCAGACGTTGACCAAGACAAATGTCTCCGGCCCTCAGTTAGATGGATTAATAAAATTAATTACGGACCGTGCGGCTAAGGTACATTTATAGCAATTTTTTTCAATTGCTTTCACGTACATTTCAGATATCGGCTTATATCGAATCTAAACAATTGAAGACTGCGTATCTGTTGGCTGTGAAACACAAGAGGATGGGAGATATTCGGAGAATTCTTAGAGAAGCAGAGTTTCTAAATCAGCCCAGCATTAAGACATTATGTCAAAAAATTTTACATTCTCATTCACATTTCCCTTCGCATTCAAAAGACTGAATTATGTGGTATTTCAAGTTACCTGAAATTGTTTTTGGTGCATATTTTTATTACTGCTGTGATTATTTGAACAAATTATATTGTTTATACCATATATTTTTTAATATATACGTACCTTGTATTTGTGGCAACAAAATGATTACTTATTGAAGATTCAACAAACCTTTTCTAAAAGAAGCATGTTGATTACCAGAAATTGTTTGGGTCTTATGCAATAACGTCAACAACGCCCAGAGACACTACTCCACTCTCCTAAAACTTTTGAGCCGATTTTGTCCAAAAGTTGATAAAAATATCTTTATTGTTATAGCAGATGTTAATACGTTTGAATGAGTAGGCTAACTCGCTCTTTAACTGTGAGGGTTTTGAGATATATGTAGCACAATACAATTGTATTATTTTACATCTCAATACATGATATTATTATATATGATATTATAAAGTGATCAGTTTAAACGCAATGGTAGGTGAATTAAAACACATGAGTAGGTGTATGCATTCTAATAACAACTGTCATTCTTATTTCACATGGGACGCGGAGCACGATATAAAATGACGTTTAGAGCGTCTTGGATAATAAATAACCATTAACTTTGATTCCATAACAGAAAAACTGCTCCAGTGGTAGATCACTGCAAATTTCAGGTCACACATGGCTGGTATTAATTGGTCTATCTAGTTTGAGGTTGTAATAATAATAATAACATTTATTTCTGTTAACGTGCCAATGAAACATTTGCAGAAGTCAAAGGAAACATGTTAAATGTTAAATTCGATATATATAAATTACCGTCTTTAAATTCGTTATTATAAAATATGCCTTCAATAAGAAATTTTTTTAATCTGGATTTTAAAGTAATGGTTTTAGGTATACCTACTATCTATAGATCTGAACACTGAAAAGTTGAAAGTGGCATACACTAGCGCCCTAATCAACTGGCAATGGCTTGTTTTGACGTCAATTTAGTGTCGTATAGAGGCAAGAGGGGCGGGGGGGACAATTTCGCTGCCTAGGCAGCAGATACTTAAATATGGCCCTGCGTTTAGCCCCATTTTATGGGCACTCTTTTTCAGAGAATCTTTCTACATCTAACGTGCTATGGAAATTCTGATAACAAATTCAGATATTCTCCGAAAAAAAAGGTGCCCTTATATTGAAGGTGATGCTAACGGGAATCGTGCATTTCCAACCGCTTAAGCAAGAAAAATGAAAACAAAATTTAACATTTCTGTTTTTCAGTGAGTTATTTTTAAAGATTTTTCAAAAATTTTAAATGCGTTTTTTTGACTACAAAAAGGGGTAACTTTGCCCCTTTTAACCTACATCTGTATGTAATGTAAGGGTCCCTGGTTCGAATCCGTGTCCAGGCATGGATATTTGTAAAACAGTGGGTTCTGTTGATAAGAGGCATAGACTATGCTGCTTCTCTAAGGGTAGAACAGCCTTGACTGAAAGCCCGTCCACTTAAAAATAAAAGATGTATATTATACCTTTATTTGTAACTACTAAAAATATAAACTGGAATAATGTAAACAATTGCTTAGCTGCCGTATAGTCAGTACACTACACTTTACCATTGGCCACGACATTGGCACGTACATATTTGCCAAACAAATTAAATAATCAAACAGCTAAATTGCAAGCTATATATACACGCTTTCATTCAACTTACATCCTTATTAAAGTATGTAGAAATAAATAGAATTAATTAGGTACGTAGATATGCAGGTAAAATAAAAAAAAAACTATTCATATAGTTAATCTTCCAAAAGGTCCTCTCCATTTGTCGCATTATGATTTTCGTTCAAAATTTCCCCATTCTCCAAACCTTGCTGCAATTCCACATTTAACTTTGCAGCAAAAATCTCATCGATGTCTGATATTTTCGTTAAAAAATTGTCTCTTTGTTCAGGATTCCAATGGCCAAACCATTCTTTGAATAACTTTATCTGAAATAGTTATTTACAAGAAAATGTAATTATCTTGTCAATGCTTACCCGGCACTCGAACAACGACATTGGTTTATCCTGGCAATTGACATTCGACATGTGATTAACAATTCCATTTACATATACCTTATTGGAGTATTTCTCCGCTAATATTGGCAGAAAATCGGATCTCTGAAGCTCACTCCACTCGTTAAACCATTGGATTAAATATCGAATTTGCGCTTCGGCACTGATATTGGTCATGATGTATGAAATAAACAGTCTTGTTTTCAGTCTACACAGTGAATAGTGAAATGTAAATCTGGAACAATAAACCGCTTTGTGTTCTTTTATTAGAAGTTGGAAATATGCAGTAAAGAGAAAGGTTACTAAATACCATGAGATTGCAAGTTATTGTTTATGAATAAAATGGTCAAATTAGCCAAAATTTCTTTTACCTACTCGCTTACCTTGAGTGAAATTTTTCTTATCTTCTAATGAACATCGACAACCGACAAAATTTTCCTCATTTGTGTTAGAAATTTTTAAAAAGGTTTCATTTACCGTAATGACCTCGCACTTTTCAAACGAGCAGCCTTGACCCCCGCGGCCGATTTCTTGGTTATATGTACAGGATCGTTCACATCTTCAATCATTGTATATACAGGGTAGTATTTTAAAGTTGCAAGGTTAGTTTATCATAGGCGCTTTCTTTCGGCTACTTCGCAATCATGATTTCAAAATCGTGATTCATAGGATCACGTTTTACGAAAGAACGCGCGAATTTAAATCAAAGTATGGTTAAGTTTACGTAGTACACATTTGCATTCGAATTACGTATTTTTTGTTTGGATTATGAAAATAATTTAAATTCAAGTGGAAGTACTTGTGCGATTATGCTCCTCTTCAGTTACAAATATGGACTAACCTAACATTTGAGCAAAAATATCCTTGCATTTATAGGTTAGGAATTCGTGATCATAAAACTTTTATGTTCAGTTTGTTCACGATTTTAGCAATCATGATTATAAGATCACACTTCGAAAGAACGTGATTTGACAATCCAAACGCGTTTGCATCACCGAAAGAAAGCGCCTCATGTTCACATTGGGCGCGTTCATAAAACCAGTTGTGTTTTATGAACGCGCCCAATGTGAACATGAGGCGCATGAGGAACAATTACCGATACGTCGCTACTTTACGGCAGTCGGCCATTTTTAAGCGAGTTTGTTTTACAACAAAGTATATGTAGCAGTAGATCAAGAATAGCTACCGTTTTACTAGTATAGTCATAGCCAGAAAGCTCTTACACACTAATAGTAGAGTACGAATTAAAAAAATATCCTAGTTTGCATACTTTCACTGGACTAGCAACGAAAATTGTGGATTCTCGTGTGTCACGGGCTTTTTACAGTGTTGTGATGTATCTAGATACTTGTAATTTTTTACTTATATCTAGATACAGTATCTGGATCTACTTAAAAAGTATCTAGATACATAAGATCCTTTTCAAAATTTGTATCTGTATCTACAATTCAGATACTTTTTTTTACATTTTCTTTATTGTCCAATTCCATTAATCAATATTATAATGATGTATTAAAATTATATTTTCAACTGACAAAACGCTTTTTATTATTTGAGGGATGTCTCATGTCGCTTTACTTTGTCGAACTATCAAAAAGTCACCTTTTGCATTTGAGTTTCTTTTTTGAATTTGGTCCCGTTTTATATTTTGCACAGCGCCACTTACTACAAATCTAGGATTGCAGTAGCGGATATCTTTATTGTGTATGTGAATTCTTCTTTCGTAGTTCTTATGTAATTGTATAGTTCAAATGCGCCACCTACATAATCTGAAGTGTAGTTCTAGCTGAGGCTGAGTAGTTTATAAGTTTACTATTCTTGATTTGTAAGGTTTATCTGTACATTTTTTATTGTTAAAAAGGAACTTAATTTAATAAGTTTTTAAATCAGTAAACAAAGTAAGTAACGTAGGTAATTAAAAAGCGAGTTTACTAAAAAAAAGATGGTAACCTTGTGTGATTAGGATTCATAACCTAATTGTATATTGATGACATAACACTTCTATTCTCAAACTCTGTTTTCATTTTAGAACAATGTCTTTATCGCCTTTTCTTCGATCGCCCTTCACCGACTTGACTGGCGCAATGGTCAGTCACCAATGGTACGGACAATGTGCAGATATGGAATTAAAGGTGATGGATTGTTTAGAGGCGTACGGAGTTGATAAAGGGCGAAAGAAGTGTGACACTCTCATTCAAGACTTCCAAGAATGCGCTTCACGAAAAATTCGAAACCAACGTATTATCGAAATGCGACAGGAGAGGCATCGGCAATATAAAGCAGGGGAACGTTCGAAGGAAGATTTGTACGTTCCTACCATTAAAACAAATGGATATTAGTGTAAAACTTGTAATTTGTAGTAATATAGTCTGATCTTTCAAATAAAATATGTTGGTACTAATTGTCTTTTTTACTATCAATACTTTCATGGATACTATGTGATCAAAAACGAGTTGCTGTCATGTCACCTTTGGAATTTTTGTTTACATGGGAAATCTTACTTGAACTTCCCAAGGCGGCTCGACCGCCACTCATTTTTGATCATGTGGTAATTACAATCTCGGTACATATAGTAAATAACTATATAGGTAATCAAGTCCAACACCAATACTTGTTGCTTCGTAATAGTTATTTATTTATTATACAAGATGATAAAGGGATGCTTTAACTATCAAGTGAATCAACTTTCACAAGATGTTTAGTTTCCTCTGGTGCCATTGTGTATAATACAAAACTTGATTTTAAAGTAAAAGCCATAGAAATCATTGCTTCCGTTCACCAGGCGAAGTGATATCTAAAGGCGGGAAAGACTATAGTAAGATGTCTCGCGCGAGTTGCTGTCTGATAGCACTGTCGAGGTGTAGATATCACTGTGCAATCCCACTTATGGTGGTATGTAGTATGTACACCTCGCCAGTGCTATCAGACAGCAACTCGCGCGAGAAATCGCTAGTCTATTACCGGGCTTACCGCCTTTAGTTAGCGCTCCGCCTGGTGAACGCACTCATTATAAAACTTCTGAAAATTCTGAATTTATATTTGATGTCAAAAGTAACAAGCTTAGGTTCTGGCGTTTCCACTATATTGTTTTTTGTTCTGAATTTATTTCATGCTCCGCGTCTCTTTTTTAAGACTAAAACCGTTGAGTGAAGGATCTAGATCCTTCACTCAACGCTAAAACTCAATGCTAAAACGTTGGCAAAATGTGGTGTACAAGGGATACTCCTACGAGTAAAAAATAAAAGGGGAGAACCTTGCATTAAAAGGGGACGAGACGGAAATTGACAAAAAAGGAAGTTATAAAAGTGCGAGAAGAGTGGGGAGAAACGCGTCATTATTGGCAGTGGTGTAATAAAACAAAAACTGACATCGTCTCTTCGCTGTTTTATGATAAGAAGTCAAGTCGACGTAACTGACCAGCGCCATAAGGAAGTGATATGATGACGACTTCCGTCGCCTGTTATGCTATTTCCCACCACCGTTATATTCTCTCCTCTTATTTTTTACTCGTACTAGGGTACTCAAACAAACCATGAAAATGGATACGGGTAGAAAGAAGGTAATTGGGAAAGTAGATGAAGGAATATTTTCACTGCACGTGGAGTAAATGTATAGTCGAATGTTCTGATTGGAGGGAAGAATTGGTTTTGACTGGTAGGCGTAGATTGTTCGAGGAGAACCGTCAGGCAATGCGCGTTGAAATGCGAGCGAAGATGGGCCAAGGACCTGTCAATTAGCGCATTGCGTTTGTGTTGAGCCGTGAGCGAACTTAACTCATCAGCCACCGAGAATTGATCGCATAGAGGATTTTATATTGTGTGTTATTTGAATTTGTGTAATTTATCGGAGTGAAAAATCGCTATTGGCTGCAGTCTGTCGTCTGTCCGCCCGTCCGTTCGTCACACGTACTCCTATACACCACCGAACCGATTTGGGCGATATAAGGCCCATTTGAATGGGCTTGCTCTAAAGATTCCGTGCATACCGATATTTTTTGGTTTTGCACATGCGCAGTGTCAAAAATTTGGTTTAACGCATGTGCAATTCTAACTTTTTTTTATTTATGAAGAGATTTAAATTAAACTTTATATGTAAACACTACGAAATATAAGTAAAATTAATGACATTTTCAAAATGTTGTTTTGCACATGAGCATTGCGCAATGCCAACTTTCTTATTTATTAAAGCATTTAAATGAAATTTTATACATAGACATTTGGAATAAAAACAAATCTAACACCAGTTGGAAAAATTGGTTTTGCGCATGCGTCGCAATCACACAAAACCTGTCGATGATATCAGTCGATCTGTCTGTTTGTACAGTGTACCCTCATTTCCGGCTAAACAACTGAATCGATTGGAACTAAATGTTGCACACATATTCTTAGACATAAAAGGAAGAATTGCGCATGCGCAGGTGTGCGGGTGGTATCTGTGCTAGCCACAGCAAATTTTTAAAGCTGCCCTTTGGATGGATATATTGATCGTAAAAAACACAAATCATGAGTATTTTTTTTATTTTGTACAAAATATGTTGGAATATAATTACAAAGTGCATTTGTGGTTAAGGTGCAACATATTTCCATGCAAAATTTAATACTGACAATATTATAGAAAAATGTCATACAATCCCCTTTCGTTTGGTTTTTAGAAATACCTACACATTGTATTTCCCCTTCCATTCACTTAAGTAATTACGAAGGCATATAAAATTGTAGGGATGGGGAATAGCAGTACTTGATTTAAGTTTGATCTTTAGTTTCTATTCTACAACTTACGCAATGCAGCCGTTTAAACAGTTTTGTTAAAGACTCCGCTTTTACACATTTTGGAATCATTGGTTCGCATTTTCAGTTAACAGAGGGCCGCATTTTTCTTTAATAGAGTGTAGTTTATGCAGACAAATTGTTAAAATTTAAGGCTATTATTAGTGATATTAATTAGTGTAGCGCGAACACTTTAAAATCTAAAATTTTATTTACATTTTAAAAAACTGCCATAATTCGCAGCAATTAATGACTACTTAGTATGACTTTTAATATAAGAAATAAATAAGACGTGATGTAGCCAGAAATCACTTTGTAAATGGTCCAATAAATCCACAATATTATACGTAGTATTGTACAATTTTGACTTATAATACGTACTACAAATTTACACGCCATCCACTTGATGTATTACACTTATATCTGAAAATTTTCTTCATAAATACATGTTACAGTCTACATTTTATAATCAATCAAAACATATTGTATCGCAATATGTCCATCAATCACATTTATATCACAATTAATATAACAACTGTCATAAGAATATCCAAATATTTATTGAACACATGAAATTGACTATTTTACAAAATACATAAGTTGAGTGAATAACGGAATGGAGTGTACCTACTAAGAGTACTTTTTGAAAAGCAACCGGCAGGTTTAATATTTTGAATTGTATAAAAATATTAATAATCTTTCACTTAATTGTACGTACCTAATTATCTTTACTTAACACTATATGCGGTACGTTCAAGGATAAAATTGATAAAAAACATTTTAAAACCTCTATCTTGCGTTTTGCAAAAGACCTGTGCAGATTCCATATTTTGCTTAATTTATTTAAATGGAAGATAGAGAGATGGTACCCTGCACCTGCTTGAACGCTTGCTAATAATTCATTTTGTACAAATAAGTAACGTTCAAGTAAAATTTAGGCATTATATGTGCAACCCTGTCATTAAGATCAATTCTTCAAATATTAGACCCGCTTAAACTGTGCGAATGGTCAACCGAATCTGCTTAAATAAATATTGCCTCTATACGTTTCAAAAATCGCTCTACAAAGTAATAAGACACAAAGGGTTTGTCTTATTATGATCGATTTTTGAAACTTACACGTTACATATACTTATCTTATATATCTTCTCCAAAGTATAAAACCTAATAATTTATGTATAAATACAATCATTTCTTTTTAATACAACTATATTTTTGTGTGTAAATGTAAGCGTTTAGTCAAATGTACCCATCCCTACATAATTCTTTTTTTTTATAAATTTACTAAGTAAAGCTTATATTTAATTTGTGCAATGGTACAATAAGAGTAGGACAAAGTTTTTTACCTATAAAATTTTTGCCGGTTTATAGAGTTGTCGATTTCTCTGCTCCCTCTCATAATGTTGTGTGTTGTTTCAAATTAGATTTCAATATCACATTTCATGTATTTTGTTTGAGTGAGTTGTAGTTATGTTTGTCAAATATTTGTTTACCTTGAACGAATTTACACATTTTAATTTCAATATAAGGCAATGAAAATACAGACTAATAACTTATATATAAATAGAAATTGGTACCAAATTTTAACAGTAACAATATCGTTATTTCTCTTTAAAGTATAAAAAATTATTAGCGATTTAGTTTGACGCCTATAAGTTAAACTATGATTGCACCAGGACGTGCCATCGACAAATTTGTTCCTGTTGGAATTCCTTCATGTCCATCCAGTGTGCCAGTTCTTCCGCGCCGCTCGAGTTCAGTCCCAAGCTAAACCAACCGACCATTTCCTTCTTTTTGGTTACTCCACGTCTGTTGTAGACCGATGCCATTAGTGTTACGTCTGCTAATTGGAAAAGCGCCACCTGCAAACAGTTTTTGGTAAATCTTTACAAAATACAAGGCACAATAGTATAGTTAGGGAATATATTTGAAGAACGAGGAGCAATTGTCCCGCGTTAAATTTCATGAGCAACTCGGAATTTCTCTTGCAAGAAGTTTTTTTTGTAGGGGGGGAACGAATACACTAGGAAACGGTGTTGATTTTAAATTGTGGAATGTACGTTCCTTACAACTAAATTATATCTCAACAAGGAACGATTTTCCAGTTATTAAATTTGCATTTTTGATCGATTTAACGGTTGAGATCCGTGCCATAGATTTCGATGAAGTAGACAATTTTTTTCCTAAAGACTTTGAGTTATGACTACAAAAAATTCGACAGTAACAGTTATTATAATAGAGTTTTTGTTAGGGTCTAAAAATTGTATGGGTTTGATGGTCGAAATCGAAAATCTCCATCCTTAAAAAAGGAGTAAAAATATTGTTAATTTAATGAGAACACAAAGCCGACTACTTTTCTGCGTTCGTTCGTATTTTGTCTAAAAACGTCCATGCCGTTCCATACATTGCGCATGTCTGGAGCATTTTTATGCTTACTTGAAAAAAAATCGTTTTATGACAAAGTTTATCGGTTATGGGGGTAGTTTTTCGATATGGCGAACTCCGAAAAAGAGACTTTCGCTACGAATCTGTGGAACTGGGTGTGAAAGGTATTGTAGCGAAGCGATGTGAGCGAAAATCACAAAGATAAATAGGGTGGATACTAAAAACCTATTGCTTTTTGGAAAAATCGTAA